TGTACGCGCTGCAGCCGCTGGACCACGAGGAGCTGGAGCTGCTGCAGTTCCAGGTGAGCGCGCGCGACGCGGGCGTGCCGCCTCTGGGCAGCAACGTGACACTGCAGGTGTTTGTGCTGGACGAGAACGACAACGCGCCCGTGCTGCTGCCGCCTGGGGCGGGTGGCGTGGACGGCGCGGTGAGCCAGCTGGTGTCGCGGTCCGTGGGCGCGGGCCAAGTGGTAGCAAAGGTGCGCGCAGTGGACGCGGACTCAGGCTACAACGCGTGGCTGTCTTATGAACTGCAGCAGTCGGCGGGGAGCGCGCGCAGCCCGTTCCGCGTGGGTCTGTACACAGGCGAGATCAGTACGACTCGCACCCTGGATGAGGTGGACGCGCTGCGCCAGCGCCTACTGGTGCTGGTGAAGGACCATGGCGAGCCGGCGCTGGTGTCCACGGCCACCGTGCTGCTGTCGCTGGTGGACAATGGCCCTGCGCCGAAGACGCCCTCACGGGCGTCGGCCGGCGCCGCGAGCGTGGAGACCGCTCTGGTGGATGTGAACGTGTATCTGATCATCGCCATCTGCGCGGTGTCGAGCCTGTTGGTGCTCATGCTGCTGCTGTACACGGCGCTGCGGTGCTCGGCGCCGCCCACCCAGGGTGTGTGCGGGTCGGGGAAGCCCACGCTGGTGTGCTCCAGCGCGGTGGGGAGCTGGTCCTATTCGCAGCAGAGGCGGCAGAGGGTGTGCTCTGCGGAGGGCCCGCCCAAGGCCGACCTCATGGCCTTCAGCCCCAGCCTTCCTCAAGGTCCCAGCTCATCAGACAATGTGAGTCTCAAAAGCCTTATTCATAACAATTTTTCATCATAAGTCTTTAATATTACATATTTAATATCTCCCTCCATTTTCTCCTTAAATTCTGGCTTTATACATAATAACTGTAGCATTCTTTTAGATGTAAATTTTCTGTTGGTACTAACTTATTGACTTAAAATTATGCTTCTGCTTAAAATTCATTAGTTTGTTAGAGATACATAAATGCTTTACACTATAATTTCAGTAACATTCCCCCTTTTTATAAAGTTTTAAAGGTGGAGTTAATGGATTTGTTTACTTTCCACGATAAAAAGTGTTTTCAAAATTAAATTTTAATAAACATTTTAAGTTTAATCTTGAAATGTAGGAAGGTACTTGTTAAGATATATATTTAAAGTTATTACTTAGTCTTAAAGTCTCATATTATGGTACGTCAAAATGTTTTTATATTATTGAGTCAGTTTGCCTTTTGTTCTCCATTGAATATCAAATATTTTAGTGTTTTTTAACAGCAGTTTATTTCTTCAGCAATATTTGTGCACTGAATGAGTCTTTTCAAGTTTGTCTTAATTCTTAGCCTTTGCATACTGGTGATAAATTAATTTATAGTTAAAATTTTTAGCTTGAATGGCTTGGTTTTATTTAGTTTTGAATAGGAAACACATTTACATAGTTTAAAATGTTTCCCTTCTACCTCCAATAACAAGCCACTTAGTATACCTTCTTGGTTATTTCAAATGTAATATCTTGGTTATCTTTCTGGAGGTGTCTTCTTCATATACACATCAACTGCCCTCTCCTATTTTAATGCATAATATTTGTATTTCCTTTCCTCTTGTTTTCTGCAGTCAATGTATCTTTGTGATCATAAAATATCATTACCTAAGATTTGTCATTATTTTCTCCAGATCTATGGTGTCCCATTTTGCAGATATAATCTCCCCCCACCAACGTCAACATTTAGTGGGAGAATCATTAGGTTTTGTCTAATTTGCAGTTTTCAATTTTCAAATTATTACGTTGGTGAGAAAAATTGTGAACTCCTACATTTTGGAAATTCCTAAAATTTCCAAATTAGAAAATTTTGGTATTTATTGTTGCTTTTTGGTTTTCAGATTAAAAAAAAATAAGTGTATCATGATACAAACTCCACTCTTGAGTTTGTTGTTTATCAACACAATTGTGTATAAGAAAGCTGTACAATTGATTATACCATAGGGAAGGGTACTCTCCATCTCAAATACAAAGAATTGTTTTTCCACACTGAAAAAACAATGTGGGTTCAGCAGGTAATAAATATTTCACATTTCATCTGATAAAATATCAATTCCCCCTTTTATTGCTTTGCCTATTTCTTGCATTCTCATATGCATTTAATTTCATAAGTAAACTTGTGTCATACTATTCAAATATTTCTAATACCCCATTACTTTGGGGAAGTCCTAGAAATTGAGAAAGGAGTTCTCGCCATTGTGTAAATTTGTAGTTAAGTTGTCAGATTTTAAAAATCAAGTTAATTTAGTTTTAAAGTGTAAACTCTTTGATTTATGTTATAACTGAAATCTTTACTTGCTGGGGGAGGAAGTTGTTTATAGATCGATGAAACCCTTTTTCTCTACATAGCTTCTCCCTTGACCAGAATGAATTATGTTTTGCAAATAAATGAACAAAAATATAAGCTGTATCTCATGAGAAGACCAATATTTTCCTTTTCCATGCTAATTTATTTTACACGAAGGATTTCAGTAACATTATATAATTTTCTACAGAAGCCAATACACAAAATTATTACAACTTTCCAATTAATTGGATTATATTACAAACCTTCTGGAAATTGCTAGGAACTGCAATGAAAAGACAGGTTTAATACTTAACTTTAATTAATTACATTGAAAGTTGAAAATTGAAGAGACTTCATTTAGGGCAAATTTTATAAAAAAACCTTAACCACTACAGAAAACCTTCAACAGTAAGACTGCAAGGTCGGTATATCTTTTTTCAAGGCTTATCTTCCCTCAAGCAAAGGAACCTTTTGTTTTAGGGCCTATTACTGGTTAGCTAAAGAATGCTTTGCTTACAAAAAAAAAACCCAACAACTGCAATGGAAAGTCAATGATAAGGATTACTATATAACTCATAAATCTAGGTTAATCATTTTAAGCTGGAACTTTTGGGGGGAGCTTTGTATTACAACTGTCTGTGAGGGTTTTACAAATATATCAGAATTTTGAAAGAAGGTGATATTGACATGTGACCATTTGAAAGTCTTTTTTGTGACTCTTATTTTCTCCTTTTGAGAAAGAGTTTAATCACCTCCAGTTGATGACATTAAGAATGAATTTATGGTGAAATTGACATTTTGGCTTTACTTTGATTTGAGGGTAACATTTTTACTTTGATATGAAGCTAATTTTATAAAACAGCTTGACCAAAAATTGTATTGAGGAAGAAGACAAGCAAGTGATCTATATTGTCTGCAAAAGAGAATTCACACTGGAATTGTTGGCTTGTGATCACATATCAGGTCATATAGAAGTGATTCTAATGTCTTGGAATTGCTGTGTTTAGTGAAATTCAATGAAAACTGTAGCCATGAAGATAAATATGATGGTATGTGAAAACATAGATGGACTGTAGCCACATTTTGAATATGGCAGGTGAGGGAGAATGGGTAATTAAAAATTCATATTGGTGACATGTAGAATGTTCATGCCATTAAAAGACAATGAGCATTTCAAGGGTTTGAATTTGGGGTTATTAATAATGAATTGGGGTTATTAATAATATAATAATCTTAAAATGGTAATTAAATTATTTTCTAGGAATCATCAAGATGTATGGGTGAAAATGAGTTATAACCATAGAAAGGAGGGAGGAAATGCAAGTTTGGGAATACTTTCAATAAAACTTATTTGAAACGTTGGAAGTGATGAGAACACTTAAAAGGAAAGCATGTAAAAGGTTGAGATTGGGAGAAAAGGATGAGGTCATTCAGGAGCAGCTGAAGGATCAGAGCAACAAAGGACAATGGGTAGAAAGTCCACTAGAATTTGCAATGATGGAGAGATATGTGAAGGAAAATGTTTTGAGGGGGAGGCTTAATATAAACTGCAGCGAAATTAAGAAATGTAAAGAATATATACAAAAGTTTTATCTTCCATTATTAAATAGAAGAAACATCTGTGGGAGTATTTAATAATCATTGAATAGGAAAGAATGGACTTCAATAATCTATAAGGTTTTAAAATTTTGGATAAAACTTGTTAATTTAAAATTACATTCTTTCCCCAGAGCAAAATATAACAGCATGTCCTCTGACAGAAATATATGAACTTTTTTTCTCTACATAAAGTGTAGGATAGTTTGATTTCTAATTCCCAAGCCTAGTTCCAGTCACACTTAAATTCTTTAAACAGCTTGATAATAGTATTTAAATTTTTGAGGAAAGTTGTTTCTCTATGAATAATTTGATCTCTTACCTTACTCTAATAAAAGAAGTCAGACGATATTAAACCGACTCTGCAAATTACAAACATGAGGAGATTTACTATTAAAATACGGCTAAAGAAGTTTTTGTTTTTATTTGAAGAACTGTATAGCATAGCACGGTTTAGAGAATTCATTTCTTACTTACCCTTTGGAGCCGCATGATGTCGCTGTGTACCATGAAGTTACATCTAGCTGCTATTCAAACACATTCCTCCTATTACTGCATCGTTCCACGAGTGCTGAATGATGGCGGGCGCAGAAAAATTGGATTAACAGACTCGGATCATACAGTATTTCATCTTAATGCCGAGAGAAGGTATTCTTATGGAAATAAAACAAGTATTTGACATGGTTATTAATCCGGAAGGCCGACTGGGATCACGGTGTTTGCTGCTCTCGCTTCTGCTCCTTGAAGTCTGGGAGGCTGGGAGCGGCCAAATCCACTACTCGGTCCCCGAGGAGGCCAAACACGGCACCTTCGTGGGCCGCATCGCGCAGGACCTGGGGCTGGAGCTGGTGGAGCTGGTACCGCGCCTGTTCCGGGTGGCGTCCAAAGACCGCGGGGACCTTCTGGAGGTAAATCTGCAGAATGGCATTTTGTTTGTGAATTCTCGGATCGACCGCGAGGAGCTGTGCGGGCGGAGCGCGGTGTGTAGCATCCACTTGGAGGTGATCGTGGAAAGACCGCTGCAGGTTTTCCATGTGGAGGTGGAAGTAAAGGATATTAATGACAATCCACCGGTGTTTCTGGTAAAGGAACAAAGAGTGCTGATTTACGAATCAAGGCTGCCAGATTCTCTGTTTCCACTAGAGGGCGCGACGGATGAGGATGTTGGCCCAAATTCCATTTTAACCTATGAACTGAGTTCCAGTGAATACTTCGTACTAGATGTGAAAACAAAGAGTGATGACAATACACAAATTGGACTCGTGTTAAGGAAATCTTTGGACCGAGAGGAAACTCCCGAACATAGTTTATTCTTGACGGCCACTGACGGAGGCAAACCTGAGCTCACTGGCACGGTTCAGCTGCTGGTCACTGTACTGGACGTGAATGACAATGCTCCCAGTTTCCAACAGTCTGAATATGAAGTAAGAATATTTGAAAACTCAGACAACGGAACAATAGTTATCAGATTGAATGCTTCTGATCCCGATGAAGGAGCTAATCGGGAGATTTCTTACTCTTTTAATAGCCTTGTTCCACCCATGGTTATTGACCAGTTTAGCATAGATACAAATACTGGAGAAATAACAATTCGAAAGAATCTGGATTTTGAAAAAGTGAATTCATATAAAATCCGTATTGACGCCACGGACAGAGGCCACCCACCAATGGCAGGTCATTGTACAATTTTGGTAAAAGTCTTAGATATTAATGATAATGTCCCTGGGATTTCCTTGACTTCGTTGTCCCTTCCAGTAAGGGAGGACGCTCCACTCGGTACCGTGATTGCCTTAATCAGCGTGTCGGACCGTGATTCTGGCGCCAACGGGCAGGTGACCTGTATTCTGTCACCCCACGTTCCCTTCAAGCTGGTGTCCACTTTCAAGAATTACTATTCGCTGGTGCTGGACAGC